ACCATTCTGTGTGTCAGTTGGCGTTAATGATGTTTGATCTTTGCTCTCAGCCGTAGCAACATTGTTTTTTCCGGCCTCTTCTGTGTTGCTGCTGTTTTCTTTAACGTTGAACGTAGTATCGAACAATGCGGTACACGCATTGGACATCTATTTTAAGAAGTCCCCCAGTGCTGTCTCCTCACGCCCCACCAGTGCTGCCTCTTCACTCCCTCAAGATGATCCAATACCTTCAACCAGCAAGTTTCCACAGTACATAAACCTGTCTGAAGAAAGCGACAGTGATGACCCACCCAGCCCTGTCTCCTCCTCTGCTTCATCCAATTAATATAGTCTCCATGTATTCTGTAAATGGAAAATTATGGGGGCCCCGTGTGCATTCAGCTGACTACATTAAAGATAAGTGCTCAGTCACACTGTATCCACATCTCATTATTTATTATTTTTACTGTACAGTCGGCCCTTAACATACGCGGGGGTTAGTTAACAGAGATACCCGTGAATGTTAAAAATCCGTGTACTTTTGCCCCCCCCCAAAAAAAAAACCCTGGCCCCCCTTGTCCTTATTTACTGTATATACCTGTGTGTAGTTCGAGTTTTTAAGACCAAATTATTTGGCAAAAAATTGGGGGTCGACCTCTAAACTGGTAATGGTTTCGTTAGGTTGAAAAATATTTACCAGTAACTACCAGTAAACAATGGAAATGACGCACCAACGCACCACCAGCTGTGAGTGTCGGTACAGTTGCCAGGGCAGATCTCTTGCGTCATCATAGCAAGCCCAAAGTAGCCAAATCCATGGTATGGTATGCACAGGACGATGTAAAACAAAGTATTCATTTTTTAAAGTTTATTTATAGATACTGTACATAAATTTTTGTTCATCACATTTGAAACATCAATCTTTGTTAATTAAATTTGAAACAAAAGAAAACTACGATACCGTATTTTCATTAGAATATTACATCACAAGTATATTTTACCTTAACGACTGAATGAATATATTCTCAGAAATAAATATGGAAATGTAGTATTTTGGCTGAAATGACGTACATATTACAGTGGAAAGTGGGATAAAATCATGACGAAAACAATGACTTTCGCTTTCTTTCGTTGTTCAAAAAATGTTACCGTAATCGCTTTTCGAATGGTTTTCAGTTAAAAAATCTGTTGCATCACAAGTGAATTAGGGTAGAATATTATTGTAATACAACAGTTTTTTAACTGAAAACCATTCTAAAAGCGATTACGGTAACATCTTTTGAACGAAAGAAAGCGAAAATCATTGCTTTCGTCACTTTCCACTGTAATACGTACGTCATTTCAGCAAAAATATTACATTTCCATGTTCTCAGAAATAAGTAGTAGTTTTGTTGAAAAGTAATGTACAGTATTTAATATTAAAATGCAAAAAGAGCTATAAAAACAATTAATACTGTACACCCGTAATGTACTGGCTGGCATCTCCACTCGTCCCTGCTCCCGCTAGTCAACACTCCTCCCCGCTCTATCCCTCCGCCTCCTCCACATCGTCACTACTGTTGTATTACAATAATATTCTATCCTAATTCACTTGAATAAATACTACGATACCATATTTCTGAATATTTTCATTAAAATCCATCAAAATCATTTTCCTTGTCATCGTCTTCAGCACCAAACAGCTCCTCCCAGTCTTCTCCTTGAACAGGGCTAGAGGGTACGTGTTTTTCGAATTGTTTTCAGTTAAAAAAATGTTACATCACATGTTTATTTTACCTAAACTGCGCCTGAATGAATATATTCTCAGAAATAAATAGTAGTTTTGCTGAAACATGATGTATTTCAATGTAAAATAGGATAAAATGCATGACGAAAACAAAAGATTTTACCTAACCTTTCGATGTTCAAGAGATGTAACTCATTTTTTTAATAGTTTTCGGTTAAAATACTGTTATATTACAATGATATTCTATTCATACTGTGCTTGATATACTACATTCACGGAAATGTAATATTTTTGCTGAAATGACGTACGCATTACAGTGGAAAGTGGGATAAAATCGTGATGAAAACAATGACTTGCTTTCTTTCGTTCAAAAGATGTTGCCGTAAGCGCTTTTCGAATGGTTTTCAGTTAAAAAAACTGTTGCATCACAAGTGAACTAAGGTAGAATATTATTGTAATACAACAGTCTTTTAACTGAAAACCATTCTAAAAGCGCTTATGGCAACATCTTTTGAACGAAAGAAAGCGAAAGTCATTGCCTTCGTCACTTTCCACTGTAATACGTACGTCATTTCAGCAAAAATATTAATGTACATTTCCATATTCTCAGAAATAAATAGTAGTTTTGCTGAAACGTGGTGTATTTCAATGTAAATTAGGATAAACTACATGAAAACAAAAGACTTTACCTAACCTTCTGATGTTCAAGATATGTTACTCGTTTTTTTAATAGTTTTCGGTTAAAATACTGTTATACATGTATTAGTGATATTCTATTCATACTGTGCTTGATATAATACCTTCACTGAAGTGTAATATTTTTGCAACTACAATGCTGATGTCAATTCACGCGTGGTTACAGCGAGACTGACTGAGTGAGGGAGAGCTATGCGTGTGTGTGTGTGAGGTTGCGGGAGCAGGCGGTGTCCCGTGTTCGGTGCCGCGCGCGAGTTGAATGGCGCGCGATTTGAATGTACTTCAATTACTTCAATGTACAGAATATTCCTCCTGTGGGGCAATCCGCGTATTTGCAAATCTGTGTATGCTAAACCCGCGTAAGGTATGTTAAGGGCCGACTGTACTGTATTTCATTGTAGATTTTTTATTTATTTATTTTTGAAATTTTTTTTATTTTTAATTTTATTTTTTTATCTATGTCGAACTTACGACCAATCGGACTTATGACCTGGATTTGGGTCCCTAACCCCGTCGTAAGTTGGGGAGCACCTGTACAATACAATATTCAGCTCATCATTAATACCACATTTTTCATTCCTCCTAAAGATCACCAATTGATTTGTCTTTCTTATTCTTATGAATATTATTTGCCATAGTATTAATAAATGATGATTCAATCTTTATATCATGACCTAAAAGAAAAGAAAAAAAAGTAGAGAGAATTGGTCTTACTGTGTAGTATAGTTTGACACTTATGTTTACCTTTTGTATAACTCTCTGAACCTATTATTCTGTACAGCATCATTGTTAAAACTATATATGAACTGTTCACTCATACCTGGATATATGCAGACTGTTAGGTGTTTCAGGGTATAGGAGAAATATTCATATATACTGTATGTTGAACTCCTGAGACGAGGCACTATGTAGCTGTACACAGTGTAACGGTATACAATATTATTTCCTGTGGATCTTATCTGGTGCCTTCAGGAAAGAGCTAAAAGACACCTGAGTGACTCACACAGTTGCCATGTAGCCTTATTACGGGTACTAATTTATTGGAGTCTTAACCCAGCTTGTTAATGATAATATGGTATTAGAATGTCAGGTGTAGAAATACTGTAGTGGTATGATCAGAAAAGTGGTGATTTAGTACAGAATTATTGTATTTAAATATGTTTCATTATTGAAGTACACAGTGGCGTAGCTAGAATGTGTGCCGCCCGGGGAGGCCCTTGAGTTTGCCGCCCCCCCCCACAAAAAATACATATTGCACAGTGACTCACTCTTATATATATATATATATATATATATATATATATATATATATATATATATATATATATATATATATATATATATATATATATATATATATATATATATATTAAATAGTTTGTGTACCATTATAATATTACTGTACTTTCACATACTCAAATATAGTATGCTTTAAATACACACCAAACATGCTTAAACTTTATAAGTAACAGTTAAACAAAAAGCAAAAATGACATATAGGATAGGGAAAAAAGTAAAAAAATGTGTAAAAAATTAGGACCATCTTTATTTCTGAAATGAAAACTACAACTTTCTACAAAGTAACTTTTCTTGTTTTTTTGTTGGCAAATTCTTCAATGACATAGTCAAAAACTATTTCATCTGTCAATTGTCGCTCTATAGACAGTATGGCAAGATCTCTCAACCGCAAGGTGCTCATAGTAGATCTTAAGTAATTCTTGATCAGTTTTAGTTTCGAAAAACTCCTCTCACAGGTAACAACACTAACAGCAATTGTGAGGAAAATCCTCAGCATTATTACTATATTTGGAACCGAGTTCCTAAGGTTATACTTTTGAATAAACTGCAAAAGTTCAAGGGGGCCTTCTTTCCACGTCTGTATTCTGTCTTTAATAGTTATAGCAGCAACAGCAACAAAATGCTGAAGTCTTTTTCTCTCAACGAGGAACTCCTCTTTATCAATGTCGTCGTGATCGTGATCTATTTGACACTCATATTTATCATCCAAAAGATTCAATGGGGTAAGGAAGGCATATTTCTCAGCAAGTTCATGAAGCTGTTGAAATCTCAAAGTTATTTCTTGGATCACTCTGTCCAGCGAAGAAAACATTTCTCTCCTCATTTCAATGTCGTATGGCAATTCAGCATCTCGTGATCCTTCACTTTTGGGGGGCGGCACTTTTGGGTCTGCTCATCACCCATATCTGCAGCTACTGGAGACGTTAATCCTTCCCTTTGTATCGGCGGCAAGTTAATCCTCGTCGTGTCTGACCTAACACCTGACCCACACCACATGAGCTCACTGGCGTACTTGTTTGAAGTTGTTTCCTTAATCCTCAACAAGTTACAGGTTGTGTGTGTGTGGCGGGGGGGGGCGCATAGCAAGGGTGCAGCTCATGACGTGGCCGTGATGATGTGGGTCAGGTGTTAGGTCAGACACGACAAGGATTAACTTGCCGCCGATACAAAGGGATGGATTAACGTCTCCAGTAGCTGCAGATATGGGTGATGAGCAGACCCAAAAGTGCCGCCCCCCAAAAGTGCCGCCCGGGGCGGACCGCACCCCCCGCCCCCCCCTAGCTACGCTAGTGGAAGTACAGTACTGTAGTAAGCTTCAACTTATTCAGCTGTACCCCAGAATGATGAATGTTAGAAGTAGTAAAATAAAACAAGATTATTTTGGCCTTATAAATACATTACCTTATAAATATATACATAACAATGGTAAGAGTCAGGTTCTGGTAAAATGTGACCTATGATAAGGCAGACTTTCCCATCCTCTGTCTGTCTGTCCGACCTGGTCACTACTGTCATGAGTCCAGAGGCTTAGTATGTACATTATAACAGAGCTGCCTAGTGTGGGGTCGGGTGAAGGGTGTAATAAAAATTGTTTTTATAGAAGAAGAAAACAATTTTTTTTATATAATTATAGATAATAGAAGATGATACAGTAACCTATTGTTGTATTTTAACTCTGAGATGAATTCACATAAATCTAAGGTTACCTGTATTTTATTTAGGTAAGGTTCATCTTGTGTAGAATAAATCATACAATATATTGTAGTATTTGATGGAAGCTTTATTGTGTATGAAACAATTATTGAAAGCAACTGTATTAAAATGAAAAAAAATGGTGTACATTAATGACACATTGTAGGTGAACGTAGATCCATATTGAGAACCCCCCAAAAAATTGAGAAATTAATAATATAAAAACTGTAAACCCTGTAACTAATTTGTGGTGTTCTCGACGTGAGGGAATAAATGATTTACACGTGAAGCTCATGATAATTACGACCGAGAGGGGCGCCGGGTCTCCTAAAACCTTTCCTTATTTTTTAGGTTCTCAACCCCAGAGGATTGGTATTGACGGCAGACATCCTTACCGACGTCCTACAAGAGAAGTGTTGTTGTTCGTCTTAATTCACAATGTCGAGTAAGTTATTATTTTGTGTACCGACTGATGCTCTGTAGCCGTGCCAGTCCGGTATGTTGTGTCGTTATTTATTTATGAATCTCCGTGTTTTGACTTACCACGTGAATGAATTGAATTATTGGGGAATAATTTTCAGTATTAATATATTCACATGTTTGTAAATTTGTTTTAAATGGGAAAGGAGTAAAGAGAAAGGGTAGATGGGTGTTATATTCTTGAGTTGGAATTATTATGTTTTATGGTTGTTCAGGTGTAAGTAACTCATCATGTTGGTCACTTAAGAATTTCACGGGAAGGGACGACGTGACTAATCTCTATATTCTGGTTGACGAAGATAATTGTCGCCTCGAAGTTATTTTCATCTGTTAAACTTTTTACCATTCATTATCGAGGAACAACTGGAGATATTTTCCTATTAAAATTTGTATAAATGTAAAGAGTAAGAAGACAATAGTCCTCAATGAATCTATATTGAAAAATGGCTGACTTGTGGCCATTTTGTATTTAATTATACTGTATATGTCATAGTTGAAGATATTTATGAGGTGAGTTTTTTCTGAGTGGTTTAGTTTGTCCAAAATACTGACTTGGACCACAGAGCATCACTTGATCTAGACCTGCATCATCCAGAAAATTTGAATATTAAAATGTATTCACATTTTAATAGACAGTATATCGTTAAAATATATTAAAGGATGTTTAGAGTATACAACTGAGTGAGTGACAGGAGGGACATCCAGCTGTAAAACTTGCTTGACATTTACCTGATGGCAGCCACGACACCTTGCCATCAGCTGACCCTCTAAAGTGTAGAAAATAGCAGTAAACCAGCGATGATGATGACAATATAGTGCTTAAAGTTGTTACTGTACTCATCACAAGTTATTGATCTGTAGTGAGTATAGTAGGTGGGTGAGGCAGTCCCCTTCAGCACTGTTTACAGCATGACACATGAGCTGCCTCTGTACAGTACATGTCAGGCAAGACTAGTCATAATCTCCGTAAGTTTTTGGCCTGTAAGTCTAGAAGATTTCTGGATAATTTTTAGTAAGATGAATATGGACTCTGTTGTAGTGTAGTTTAATACAGTACAGTACAGCATTGTCTCAGAACATTCACCTTACAGTACTGTACTGTAGCCCAAGTGTAGTGCCTGTGACACACACACATTACAATAAGCCACTAATGCAGTTATTGTTGTATGATAGCATCCCTACGAGCCTAATTATGCAGTCGGATGAACAAAAGTTTATGTTCCTTGGTGCAGATATTATGAGAATACTTGTTGCTGCAACACAAGCTGTGAGATATTAAGTTTGGTGAGGAAGGCTTGAGTTACCCAGGTGGGCCTACAGAAGCTACAACACTGGTATTGTTCCTTTCTATTACCTGCATCTGCCTAAAGTTTCTCCTCAGGGTCACTGGGGCTTACAGTGTAACCCTCATTTAACAGGTTGTCATGCTGACCATTCTGTGTGTCAGTTGGCGTTAATGATGTTTGATCTTTGCTCTCAGCCGTAGCAACATTGTTTTTTCCGGCCTCTTCTGTGTTGCTGCTGTTTTCTTTAACGTTGAACGCGCTATTCTTGTAGTGTCAAACAATGAGGCACACGCACAGTGTGATGAAAGAAATCATTATGATCACAGGTGAAACCAGCAGCAGGTTTCCTTTGTTGGTTGTAGTCATCCCAGGGCTTGATGAATGTGACTCTTCAGGTATAACTGAAAGAAGGAATGTTTTAATATCTTTATATGAAGCTTTGTGCACTTGTTCTATCCACCAAGTTGGAAATGAAATACTGTACTGTACTGTACTGTACTGTACTGTACTGTACTGTACTGTACTGTACTGTTAGTTACACAGGTGGGAGTAAAGACACACATATGGCATCAATCGTGTGGATTTTGTTCAAACTTAACACTGTAGTTTTGTTGTTCCTAACAGGAAATTAGTTTCCAAATTTTTCATATTATGTTATGAAAATGTGAGTTTAAGGTAGACTAAGAACTTGTTGGGTCATGTTAGCTCTTGTTTACTGAGGAATATTGTTAGGTGTTATATTAGATACTGTACCTGGTACCTACACAACCCCAATCACCTTTATCCAAAGTTAAAAAAATAAATGGAACAGAAGATTTAGTGGCTGGGCCTCTTATGTGATACTGTACTGAAATAGAATCACTTCAACCACCACTAAAGATATTCAATACCATACCCTATTTACACATCTAATTATAAGGTGATGAATCTCTCACAAACAGTGTGAAGGAATCATTGGTGGTTGTCACTGGTCATGTGGGCAACTACAAGGCTCAGGGATGGTCTTGTGGTGTACTGTACCATATTTAACATAACCTACAGTGAGCTCACAGGTTGGTGGGGAACTTCAGCTGTTGTTGTCCAGAAGCTTTAGATACGTTTTGACTTTCCCTCGTACCTTTACAGATAAATAGTACAGTGTTAAGATCTTTTGTGTACAGTAATTATGCTGCTCACCTGTTGTGTCAACTGAAGTAACCAGGGACGTAGTGTAGGTCGCTGGGGTACTAGTGGTGTCTGGTGTGGGAATGATGGGACAGAGAGAAGCTGTTAACAGTGGGATATCCTTGAGGTGTTTAGGGATAGCACAGATTGTGTTCTCTTCGTTGAGGAGAATAAGCTTCCCGTATCTCACGTAATTTGGGATCCAAGAGATTCCATAGCACGTACACTCAAGTGGGTTATGACTTATGTCCAGCTGTTTGACGTTTGGTGTTTTTTGTTCAAAATGAGACTCGGGAAAGTCCCTTATCCAACAGTGGGACATTTTAAGAATCTTAAGGTCAGGTAAGGTTGTTGGTGCATTTGAGGTTAAGAAGAGTTTTGTCAGATAAGGGGATCCTGACAAGTCAAGTATTTCTATTTTGGGAAGTTCAAACTTAGGCCATAAGCTTAGTCTTGTCGGGACCAGTTTTACATCTGTTGCTTTGAGATTTTGGAGTTTGCTGTTGGCCTGGGTGAAAATCTTTGGACTTGCTAGTCTGAAAGAAAAAAGTAGATGTTAGGTATATTTTAGTTAATACAAAAATGTGCAAACTTATCAATACTGTACCGTACTCTATTGTATACTGTACTTGGATTTCAGGTAAATTAAGGTTAGGTTATATTAGGTTAGTATCAAGGTGAAATAAGCTTGGTGCTGATCTTCATGTGACTTAAATTTAACATCAATAGGAACTGGAGAGATGGAAGTGTGAATATGCTGTTAAACTCTGTGGCCTCTTTGAAGGGTACACTGAGGTCTGAAGGGTACACTGAGGTCTGAAGGGTACACTGAGGTCTGAAGGGTACGCTGAGGTCTGAAGGATACACTGAGGTCTGAAGGATACACTGAGGTCTGAAAGGTACACCAAAGTCTTGTATAGGTTAAGTGAGACTGGAAACATTCTTACCCACAATAGGACAGCTCCAGGTTTTTGAGTGATTGTGTTGTCATGTTGAGGATATTTTCCTGAATCTTGTTAGTAACTCTCAGTTTATTCTCTGGATCTCCTTTTAGCTGTAGACTCTCAAGAACTGGAAGCTTGTTGTGGTTTACCAGATCATCGCTCAGATTAAACTTTATTCCTCCAATGCAGAGCGACTTGAGATTCTTCAGCTCAATCTGAGAAAAATAATGATATTTTACTGAGACGTTGGTAATGGCCTGCTATAGTTATCCTGTCAGATATTTTACTGAGACGTTGGTAATGGCCTGCTATAGTTATCCTGTCAGATATTTTACTGAGACGTTAGTAATGGCCTGCTATAGTTGTCCTGTCAGATATTTTACTGAGACGTTGGTAATTGCCTGCTATAGTTATCCTGTCAGATATTTTACTGAGACGTTGGTAATGGCCTGCTATAGTTATCCTGTCAGATATTTTACTGAGACCTTGGTAATTGTCTGCTATAGTTATCCTGTCAGATATTTTACTGAGACGTTGGTAATTGTCTGCTATAGTTATCCTGTCAGATATTTTACTGAGACGTTGGTAATTGCCTGCTATAGTTATCCTGTCAGATATTTTACTGAGACGTTGGTAATGGCCTGCTATAGTTATCCTGTCAGATATTTTACTGAGACGTTGGTAATTGCCTGCTATAGTTATCCTGTCAGATATTTTACTGAGATATTAGTTACTGAGTAATATCCTGTCAGATATTTTACTGAGACGTTGGTAATTGCTGCTATAGTTATCCTGTCAGTTATCCTGTCAGATATTTTACTGAGACTATGGATATTTTACTGAGACGTTAGTAATGGCCTGCTATAGTTATCCTGTCAGATATTTTACTGAGAGACACGTTGGTAATTGCCTGCTATAGTTATCCTGTCAGATATTTTACTGAGACTATAGTTATCCTGGATATTTTATTGGCCTGCTATAGTTATCCTGTCAGATATTTTACTGAGACGTTAGTAATGGCCTGCTATAGTTGTCCTGTCAGATATTTTACTGAGACGTTGGTAATTGCCTGCTATAGTTATCCTGTCAGATATTTTACTGAGACGTTGGTAATGGCCTGCTATAGTTATCCTGTCAGATATTTTACTGAGACCTTGGTAATTGTCTGCTATAGTTATCCTGTCAGATATTTTACTGAGACGTTGGTAATTGTCTGCTATAGTTATCCTGTCAGATATTTTACTGAGACGTTGGTAATTGCCTGCTATAGTTATCCTGTCAGATATTTTACTGAGACGTTGGTAATGGCCTGCTATAGTTATCCTGTCAGATATTTTACTGAGACGTTGGTAATTGCCTGCTATAGTTATCCTGTCAGATATTTCACTGAGACGTTGGTAATGGCCTGTTATAGTTATCCTGTCAGATATTTTACTGAGACGTTGGTAATTGCTGGTTATACATCTCCCATCATTGGCAGTAAAGGTCATTATCATTGTGTTGATAAGATGGTGGAATAAACCTTCATCTGAGTACAGTACAGTATACATAATTACACCTAGCCTAACCTAACCTAACTCAAGTGTGTATATGTCAATGATTCAGGTCACAGAAGAGTTTAAAATAACATCTGGAACATTACTTATTAAACACAGATAACACTTGAACAAAACTTACAGGCATTGCTCAACTTACCTAAGGGTTTTTCAGGAATGGAACCCTTTTATAGTACAGTACAGTATACTGATGGATCCCTGTACACTCAGTCCAAAAAGTATCGTGAATGATTTTGTGTGAAACAATACGACACAACGGACCGAGGATTTTTACAACACTAGGAATGTTAAGAAAAATGTAAGGAAGGCAAAGAGGGACTACGATATCAGGATAGCAAGATTTGATTGCCCTGGAGGGGGCTAGTTTATTGGGAACCCCCTTAAATCCTGCGCTAGGTGAAGCGCAGAAGCGTTTACAGTGCCCGACTGCGAAGCATGCTAAGTTCATATTTGCCTTTATGACTCATGCATTAAGGGTGTGGAAGCCTGAAGGGTCAGGTTTTGTCAGCAAGTTACATAAAGTGACGGATTGATGAGTGTGTGGGGGAAAAGTTCCCGGTACATTTCATCTGTTTATGGCAAAGCGTGGCAGGTCCCTAATAATGTCAAGTGCCAGGCCTGTCACTATTAGGAGGGATATCTGGTCAGGGAGGGAAGAGGTGTTGATAACGGCTGGGGACCTGTAGGAGGAGGTCAAGTGAGGATGTAGTGACGGAGGGTGTGGGAGTCGGGTTGGCCACAAAGTTTATAAACAGTGCGGCCAGGCTCAGGGTTGCCAATGTACTCCCATAGGTACCTGTACCCTAGGCTCAGTCTCATGTACATAATCTGTTGACATCGAGTCTGGGATTGATACGCTTTGTGTTGGCGGTTGTCGTCACCGGTTACAGCGTCACAGTGGCATAGTGTGACGCTACCCCGTTGTTTCAGGTGTGTCCAATTTTTGTCGAATGCTTCTCGTTGTGCGGTGTATATGCGAGATTTGAGATGATTCAGGGAGAGGGCGAGAAAAGTGGAACCTTTAAAGTCAGAGAGAGGAGAAGTGATTGATGATACTGAGAAAATAAGCAAAGCATTAAACAGCTACTTCTTATCAGTTTTCACAGAAGAAATTCACGAGGAAATTCCAGAGGTGGAACTGATATTTAGGAGAAATGAAGAAGAAAAATTAAAGAAATCACTATCAGAAAAGAGGATGTTCTTAAGAAGATAAATAAATTAAAGAAGACAAAATCACCAGGGCCAGATGAAATCTTCCCTCGAGGTTTGAAAGCGTGTAAGGAACAGATTAGCGGATTCCCTCGTAAATTTATTTACAAAATCATTAGACATGGGAGTTGTGCCAGACTTGTGGAAATAGGCAAATATAGTACCCATATTAAAAAATGGAGACAGAGCATCAGCGTCAAATTACCAGTCGATTACTTTGACGTCAGTAGAGGGGAAATTTCTTGAATCAATTATAGCAAATAGCATCCGATCACATTAAGAGAAAAACAAATTAATCTACGACCCCTCAACATGGGTTTACTAAGGGAAAATCTTGTCTAACAAATCTGCTGACTTTTTTAGGAAAGTCTTCGAGGTAGTAGATAATGACGAAAATTACAGTGTTAGTTACTTAGACTTTAGCAAAGCATTTGACAGAGTACCGCATCAGAGGCTTCGGAGAAAAGTTAAGGCTCATGGTATCAAGGGGAAAGTCTTAAATTGGATAAAATCATGGCTCACCGATAGAACACAGAGGGTCAGCGTAGATCTAGATACTGGGATCAGCAGTGACATAAGCAAGTTTGTGGATGACACCACAATAGGGCGGCAGATTAATTCAGAGCAGGATGCAAATGCACTACAGGAGGATTTAAATAAACTGCAGGAGTGGTCAGAAAAATGGCAAATGAAATTCAACACCAGCAAGAGCAGCGTACTTAATATTGGAAGAACAAATACTCTCAATGTATACAGACTTAACAACATCAACCTAGAGAAGTCGACTTGTGAAAGAGACTTAGGGGTACTTGTAAGCCCGGACCTACGGCCTAGAAAACAGTGCTTTAATGGAACACGAGTGCAGAGGTCTTATTGCAACTATATCTTGCACTAGTCAGACCGCACCTCAATTATGCGGTTCAGTTCTGGTGCCCTTATCATAGAATGGATATCAATTCACTGGAGTCGGCGCAGCGAAGAATGACGAAAATGATTCCGGGACTTAGAAACCTTCCATATCAAGATAGGTTAAAGAAACTAAACTTGCATTCCCTAGAAAGACGAAGAGTGCGGGGAGATATGATAGAAGTATTTAAGTTGGTGAAACGAATCAATAAAGGAGATATAGATAAAGTTCTTATAATATCAGAGCAGGATAGGACTCGTAACAATGGATTTAAGTTGGATAAGTTAAGGGTCAGGAGGGAGATAGGAAGGAACTGGTTCACAAATAGGGTGATGGACGAGTGGAACAAGTTTAGCAACTTTGTAGTAAGTGCTGAAACGCTGGAAAGTTTTAAAAGGAGGCTGAATAGATTCATGGATGATAGAGAGTGGTAGTAACTCTCGACAGAAGCTGCCATGCACAGACCAACCGGCGTACTGTTGACAGGGACATTTCCAGGTAGTACACCTCGACATCGTGGGACCTCTTCCATCATCCTGTGGTAACACCTATATCTTCACCTGCATCGACCGTTTCACCAGGTGGACAGAAGCCATTCCCATGCCCAATGCTACAGCAGAGTCTGCCGTCTGCACCTTCCTGTCCGGTTGGGTCTTCCGTTTTGGTCCCCCCACGACCGTCATCACTGACCGAGGAGCCCAGTTTGAGTCACGACTCTGGCACAGCCTCCTACAGTTTCTCGGCACTTCTAGGCACCGCACTACCTCATACCACCCTCAATCAAACGGCATGGTAGAACAGTTCCACCGGCAGCTGAAGGACGCAATCAAGGACAGCACGACCTTTACAACTGGACGGATGCTCTACCCTTAGTGCTCCTCGGCATCCGTGCATCACACAAGGAGGACATGGACTGCAGCCCAGCAGATCTCACCCTAGGCGAGCCCCTTCGCCTACCCGGAGACTTTTCACTCCCTCTCTCCCTCGGCAACTCCACGCCTGCACGTCTCTGGGACGAGATGTGTAGACTGAACTCCAGGCACACGGACAGGCTTCCCAACACTGTCCTGCATCAGCTTCACGCACAGAAGCTCCCCACACAAGTTCGATGCCCTGTGGGATGCTCTGAAGATGCGTTACCAGCGGTCCCACACCAGTCTTCTCCAAACCCTAACATGTCTCTCAAGTGGTATACAACCGTGCCGACAACAAGTCTCCTGCAGCGCTCGGAGGGGAAGGGGAGTATTGTAGTGGATACTCTCCCCTACAACTGACAAGCCTAGCCGCATACCATAGCGGCGGAGTTCAGCTTACATCCGGTTTTACTTCCGGTGGCCGAGTATATAAGCTCTCAGTCTCGCCATTGAAGTCCATTCTACTCCACGTTCCTGAACGGGCAAGACCTCCAAACAAGCTCCTCACCAACCAGACCCTCAGCAGGCTCCTCACCCAACAGGACCTCTGAGCAAGCTCCTCACCAACCAGACCCTCAGCAAGCTCCTCACCCAACAGGACCTCTGAGCAAGCTTCTCACCACACGGCAACTCCCTAGCACTGTACTGTACATACAATACAGGTATATACAGAATGCATTGTGAGTTTCTATCTTACCTCAATCCTTAGTGTGAGATATCTACATGTACGTACATATGTGGGCCCATACAAAGAGACAATAGACAAACAAAGAGAATTGACAACATCATACCTGGTCTGGGTCAATGTGGGAGATGTCATTATGACACAGGTTGAGTGATGTCATACTAGCGGAGGATAAATCTTGGACTTCACTTATCCGGTTATACTCCACGTCAAGAACCTGGAGTCTGGTGGGTAAATATTTCGGCAGAGTGGTTAAGGCATTGTGAGACAGATTGAGGTGATGGAGGTTATCCAGCGAGGTGAATGTCCCTTCCTCAATTACCTGTTGAGAGATTATAGACGTCTGTTATGGTAAATGACAGTGAGTGTTATTTATTTGATGACGTAAATTGTATAAAGGTTAGGTTAGGTTGTGTTGGGTTAGGTGAGGTTAAGTCAAGTTAGTTTGGTTTAGGTTGGGTTAGGTTAGGTTGTGTTAGGTTAGGTTGTGTTAGGTTAGGTTGTGTTAGGTTAGGTTGTGTTGGGTTAGGTGAGGTTAAGTCAAGTTAGTTTGGTTTAGGTTGGGTTAAGTTTTGTTAGGTTGGGTTAGGTTAGGTTGTGTTGGGTTAAGTCAAGTTAGTTTGGTTTAGGTTGGGTTAAGTTTAGTTAGGTTGGGTTAGGTTCAGATGGATTATATTAAGTTAGTTCAGTTTACTTTAGTTTGGGTCAGGTCAGGTGCATGAATGCTTCCACTCAGTAACATGACAAACAGTTTTCCATAGACAGTAGTGATCTAGGATACACTGAATAATAGACATATAACCAATAAGTTAATGATGAAATAGAGTACAGTATATACCATGGCTATATAGTCAGTGTTATATACTGAGATAGCTTCAGTATATAGTCATCTAATTGGGAATGGTCTATATAGTCAGTGTTATATACTAAGATAGCTTCAGTATATAGTCATCTAATTGGGAAGTCAGGTGGATGGATCAGTGATTATTATATTTAGTTGATTATAGATAGATCAGTAATAATTATACTCACTTCAATATTATTATTTTCAAGATTGAGGTAAATTAATTTGCCACAGTTTCGGAAGGTGGCGGGTCCAATCGTAGCGATGCGGTTGTTGGTTATCTCCAAAGTCTCCAGGCGTTGTATTGTTGCCAGTGCTCCGGGGTCTATCTCTGTCAGGCCTACCGAGTCCAGCTGTAGCTTCACCTGTTCAGTAAAGCAGTGCACGGAGGCTGTGTTATAGTGATCAAGTTAATCTAAGTTAATATAATATTTCCAGAAATTTCATTCAAGAGGAAGAGTTATGAATCCTTTGAAGAGTACTATAGGTGTGAGTGAGTGATAGATTACACTCCAGCATGCTGAGTACCTCCTGATAAAGCCTAGAGTACTCACTGAGTCCAGAGTACAGTTAATTTTGCTTGAGTAATCTTTACTGTTGGAATTAAAAAAGTTGGAAGTGATTTGTGTACCTGTATATACATATAGAAGTTTTGTGTGTGTGTGTGTGTATGTGTGTGCACATGCATGTGTGCATGTGTGTTTACATTAAGATACATACACACTAATGGTAACAAGACAATCATAATCTTGTGTACACTATTACTGCATTGAACAATACTTTCCGTCCACCAGCCAACATATTTAGTAGTCCTTATTCTCCCTGTTTATTGTTTAAATAGTGTCATTTATATTAATGCTGTATGCTGTTCTGAACTTCATTTAAAAACTCTTCCACCACACCTACAAGTAACTAGTCTATTACTGGAAAGTTTGAAGGCTGCAAATAAATGGTTCAGGGGTTGCATGTGAGTTAGGGATCTCTGGAGTCTTAGTATATTAAGATTTTCTAGAACTGTAACTAATAATATAAAAATACCATAAGGTAATGAAATAGATAAAAGAGAATAACTTCCGTACAAGATGTTCCAGTTGCTGAGTTATGGCATGGTTGAGTGTAGTGATGGGTGGATCAGCATCTTGTATCACCAAGGCTGTGAGTCTCTTGTCTAGTATGGATATTGTTCCTCCCTCACATGTGATCCTTGGACTGTCACATTCACACTTGGCTGGACACTCAACAGGGTTGCAGTAGGCCATGGCCACAATGAGGCTACAGACCACCAGCACTACACCTTCCATGGCCTGTTGCTGTTAAAGAAATATTGACGTGACTACTGATGAGCAAAATGGTGTCATGCTAAATAAATACAGTAGTGTATAAGGATATAAATTCAGATTATAATACAGTATAGCGAAGTATCCATTATAATGTACTGTACTGTACTGTATGTTTCACAGTACAGTACCACAACCTCCACTCCACCAGCCAACACCTTAGAGGGAACATGTCACCTGTGTCTCTTGTCTGTCAGAGAAGCTCGTGTTCCTTGGCTCTGAAATATATTGGACACTGGGCTCTTTAGTTTGTCCTACACAGTTCTTGATGTTGTTATGTATGGGAAGAATTTATTTGTACCAGCTTTCTCTCATGTTGTTATAAGTCAACAATAATATCTGGGGGTAGTGGATGTGGCAGTCAGGAACACCCAACAGTCTGGCTCATGTGTTTGTAATGGTTTTTAACTCTCAGTGCTGGAGGTTTTCTCTCAGTTGAATAATATCGCGTGGAGGTAGCAAGATTATATCTTTAACTGTCCAGAGCACCAAACGGGTTAATCCCTCGTGTACTGTGAGTGGTCTCCTCTTAGCTGAATGATGGTGTTAACCAACCACGATACAAAACGTGGCGTCCCCTCCATAGTGAAGGAATTAAGGACTCGGAGGGCCGACCCCACGCTAGTACTTTAGGTATACGTGAAGTGAAAAAAATATAGTAAAGAAATTGCTGCAGACCAAAAACTTTTCACACACTAGTTTATAGCTGTTAACCTCTTATTACAGTACAGTGGTCCCTCGGTTAACGAACGCCTCGGTTAACGAAATTTCGGGTAACGAATTACCTTCCATAAGAATCTTTAATTCGGTTAACGAAAAAAAATTCGATTAACGAAATCCTTACGAAAATCACATTTTGTTTTGAACATTAGCTGATAAGCTGAGGAGGTACTCAGCCAATTCAGTGATCTCTTCAAACTTATCACTATCTTATAAGAATTCCAGCAATGCAAATTAAATTCACCTATGTCACTTCTATTAAATTTTATAAGCAAAGCACAAAAAGTCAATCTAAAGGACATAAATTAACAATTAAATACTGTACTTCACACCACAGGCGCCAACTGTCAAACATGTCACTGTCACCCCTCCCTCCCTCCCTCCCTCCCTCACCCCCCCTCCATCCCTCCCTCCCTCACCCCCCTCCCTCCTTCCCTACCCCCACCCCCCACTTTCCTTAGAAACGTTTGGGGAAAAAGACTAGGTTTACAGGTTTAAAAATAAATAATATCTCAGACTAAAGTTAGGATAATATAATTTGCATTGCTGAAATCCTTGCAAGACAGGGAATAATTTGAATATAAACTTCATATATTTTGCACAAAAGATAAAATTTTTGCTCTCCCTAATAAAATTCTAAACATCTTGTAGATCTAAAATTTGTACTGTATGTCTAATGCAAATTTTAGCTTGTTTATATTCAAATTAATCACCATCTTATAAGAATTCCAGCAATGTGAATTATATTCTGGCTTTACTTTGTATATATTTTTCTGTGAGCTGGAACCAATTACCCAATATCCCATTGAAACATTGGTTTCGGTTAATGAAATTTTCGGTTAACGAACGACCTTATGGAACGAATTTTGTTCGTTAACCGAGGGACCACTGTACAGTATTGTTCTTGTAATGAGATAAATTGTAAAAATCATGAATATCATCAAATTATATACAATACAATATTCAGCTCATCATTAATACCACATTTTTCATTCCTCCTAAAGATCACCAATTGATTTGTCTTTCTTTTTCTTATGAATATTATTTGCCATAGTATTACAGTGGTCCCTCGGTTAACGAACTCAATCCGTTCCAGCAGGTTGTTCGTTAACCGAAAAGTTCGCTAACATAAACCATTGTTTCAATGGGTTTTTGGGTAATTGGTTCCAGTTCACCGAAAATTTCCTAAATTCAACAAAAAAGGTAGAAAAGTTCACTTACTTTGAGGTGTGTATGTAGAAGGCTCCTGGATGATGATGATGATGATGGGAATTAGAATGGGGGTGGAGGAGAAGGAAGAAGAGAAGGCATTGGGGTGGAAGAGAAGTCACCCCATGGCACCATTTCACCCATAAAATTTTAGTTCTCTTGGTGTATTTCAAGATTATTTTCTTTAAATCAACACTGCACTGCATTATATATTGTCAATATGTAAAATATATTTCAATATGACCAATAATTTGCTTGGAAACACAGAAAAAAAGCATTTAGTTGAAGAGAGTCTCAAGCAAGATGTTACCTCCAGTGAAAACAGAGAGAGACTAACGCCTGTTTGCTGTGTTAAGAGGCTGGATGCCGCGCATTACACTAGTCACTTTACCTTCAATTATGTTCAATAATAGTTAAAATGACTAAAAAATTGAATATTAAACTTTTAAAATTATTGGATAGTATAAACTTCTTGATATTTATTAAAATACAGTAGTACCCCGCTTAACGCGGTCAATAAAACCCACAGGGTACCGTGTTAAGTGAAAACCACGCTAAGTGAACAACAGAACATATGGGATTAATTCCAATAGAAACTGGCCCAATCCCCAAACTCCACTTTTTCCGACACAATACCTATGTTCTAGTAAAAAGAACATCTTAATTTTATGATGGCACATGCACACAATTAATACTTAAGAGAAATAGAGAAATACAGTCGCCAAGTTAATGTCCATTCAAATAATGGACTCAACTCCCTCCCCCTCTCCTCACACTACACTGCTGGCTCTTCCCTCTCTGAGAAATTTTTGGGGGAAAACCACTAAATTTTAATAAATAATACCTCAAACTAAAGTTAGGATAATACAATTGACATTGCTGGATTCCTTGTAAGACCAGGAATATTTTGAATATAAATGTCATATATTTTGCACAAAAGATAACATATTTACTCAGAGTAAACATTACATCTAAAATTTGTATGTCTAATGCAAAATCTATGATGTTTATATTCAAAATGATCACCAAATTGTAAGAATTCCAGCAATGTAAATTATATTCTGACCGGGTAATTTGTATGAATTTTATGAGCTAAAACAGGCAGTCAGGCAGGGTGGCGGGTGCGGGGTGGGGCGAATCTAAAAATAGCTCTCCAGCCGGACAATCACCGCGTATATGTGGAAAAAACCCGCGTTAAGTGAAAGTTAGGCTCTGGCGAGGCACCGCGTATACGGTAAAACGCGCTAAGCGAAACCGCATTAAGCGGGGTAATACTGTAGTAAGGAATTTAAGCCCTAGAACCGATTAATGTATTGGCGGATTGATACTAAAGCTGGTTACCCGGCCAGTGCAAGCGAAAACATGTTGAGGTCGGTTCGTAAGAAATTCGTTAACCGAATTGAAGATCCTTATGGAAGGCAGTTCGTTAACCGAAATTTCGTTAACCGAGGCGTTCGTTAACCGAGGGATCACTGTAATAGATGACGATTCAATCTTTATATCAAGACCTAAAAGAAAAGAAAAAGAAGTAGCGAGAATTGATCTTACTTCTCCTCCTTGTCACTACTGTATATGTTAAGTTAAAGCTAAATATGAACTGTTCACTCATACCTGGATATATGCAGACTGTTAGGTGTTTCAGGGTATAGGAGAAATATTCATTTACTGTATGTTGAGCTCCTGAGACGATGCACTTTGTAATTACACTGAGAGCAACTCGAAGCTGGGAAATACTGTCCAGTATACTGTACTTGAGACTGACTCCTTTTCTTATAAACAGGATGTGAGTCTTGGATTCTACGTCATCATCTTGTGTCTCTGCTTTAACTATGAAGTGTTTTTGGAATCTTAGTGTAATTATTCTTTTAATTGATTTGATTAATTAAAGCTTATGGTCATTATATAGATTATAAATTGGGTGTATTTAGGTTAAGTATAAACTGTGTAGGCTCTTCAACAAGTAAAGTGGGGAATACAGGTACAGAGTGTGGAAGGGTTGTGTTAAGCCATTTCCTGTGGATCTTATCTGGTGCCTTCAGGAAAGATCTAGAAGACACCTGGGATGACTCGCACAGTTGCCATGAAGCCTTATTACGGGTACTAATTTATTGGAGTCTTAACCCAGCTTGTTAATGATAATATGGTATTAGAATGTCACGTGTAGAAATACTGTAGTGGTATGATCAGAAAAGTGGTGATTTAGTACAGAATGATTGTATTTAAATATGTTTCATTATTGAAGTACAGTACTGTAGTAAGCTTCAACTTATTCAGCTGTACCCCAGAGTGATGAATGTTAGAAGTAGTAAAATAAAACAAGATTATTTTGGCCTTATAAATACATTACCTTATAAATATATACATAACAATGGTAAGAGTCAGGTTCTGGTAAAATGTGACCTATGATAAGGCAGACTTTCCCATCCTCTGTCTGTCTGTCCGACCTGGTCACTACTGTCATGAGTCCAGAGGCTTAGTATGTACATTATAACAGAGCTGCCTAGTGTGGGGTCGGACTATGAAAAGATACTGTATTTGAATTAATCTTTTATTTTTAACTTGTGGGGTAAAGCTGATCATTCTCTGTTTATTGGTCATTACTGAAGCTACTCAAATTTATATTATTATTATTATTATTATTATTATTATTATTATTATTTTATTTTTTTCATCACAGCTTTTGGTTTTGGAACACCTGCCCCCAGTGGAGCTACAACAGGAACTGGAGGTGAGCATAAAGGGTATTAAAACAACTATATTGACTTAAAAAGGGTATCCAATAACCCTAGTGGATAATTACTATCATAGGCCTACATGTGGATTACTTATAAAACAGCTTATTTCTTGGCCAAGTCTTAGCAACCGTTCACCCAACGCGTCTAGAGGGAGTCTTAGTGATGTATTGTGTGTTATTGTGCAGTACTACAGTGTGGCTCTGGCTGCATCATAGGTTGTTTGTTGGGTTGTCGTACACCATAACCTGTACTATAGGCAGGGGATATTCTCAAGGTTATGTGGACAAGTCATTGCAGTATTGTATATTAAGTGATGGGATGTGTCTTTGCTGACTATAACTTTTCTCTTCATTGTAGATAATTCACTAGGGTAAAGTTTCCAAGTTCCCCAATTGTGTATATGGGTTAAACACTCTGGTTAGTTCTGGTTCTTGTACTAGTTATGGTGATTATTGTAAGCTGAACTCTTTATTTAACCGTACTCAACCTCAGGACTATGACAGTGTGATTGATTTCATGTTTTAAGTGGAGTGGATTCTACAGCAGCTGTGATTTTATATCTAGGAGGAGCTTGGGAACGTTCTCTGAGGTTGTTTGCCGGATACACACTGTACTGTACTGAGAAACATACGAATATAAAGGTTAGGTTAGTCTCAGCAAAAGTTGGGGTAAAACTTTCTGTTTCCTCTGGCTCCCTGGAGATTAGGTTAGGTTAGGTGATCCTAATAAATTGCTGGCCAGGTACAGTGAAGGTAAGGTGTCTTTATATCCATTGTGATACCCCCAGTTAAGATGTGGCAGAAGCATCGCAGTAGTAGAGATGAGTGGGGGGGGGGCGGTTGATTAATGCCTCGTGGATCATGCTTCGAGTCATCCCGTGCAGTCATATAGGGATATAGTTTCATGCATGATACGTACCTTGTCTGGGGATATCACCTTTCCTTCACTGTACCTGCAGCACGGTTGAGGTGGGTTCTCTTGAGCTGGTGTGTGACCTTCTGGCATCTAACCTGTGATGAGGGAGATATGATATATTTTATTACAACACTGCTTCTGTAAACATCCCTGTGAGCAGTTAACAGGTTATATGTAGTTTTGTTATATACTGTACTCTGCCCTGTACTGTATCCTTTCAAAACTGTAAGTTGATATAAATTGCAGGTTTCAGTTTCGGAGGCACGACCGGAGGCACTGCAACCATGGCGACACGTAAGAGTCTTCTCTATGTTTGGTGATAAAGTGAAATACTGACATAATACTTTTTATCCCATTATATGTCTGTGTCTTGATGTGAGTTGAGTCTTCTCTACCTTGGAAAGTTGGCCCATATTGATCTAACATTTCACCACCTATCAGCTTAAGAGCCATTTGGGCGGTCGGTCTGATCTTTGTTATTAATGAATTTTATTGGCCATTGTTAGTACAGGAAGAAACCAGAGAATGAGTATTCAGATATGGTGGAGGTACAGTACAGTAATATACACCAGGGCAGCTCTTTATCACAGCCTGAAACAGTAGATGTCCTAGTATTAAAGAAGATAAATTTGGCCTCAGTAGTTATAGCACAGGGTACAGTTCATCTACCAGTAATAGTATCATCTGGTAAACTCACACAAAGACGCTTGTTAATTACCATACATCAATCACGTTTATGTTGATTATATTGCTCGGTGTACGGTAATGGATTGCTGTACTGTAATGCAGACAAAAGTGCATAGGATGTTGTTATATTTATTGTTCCATTGCTTTTACAGCCTTTGGGACACCTTTTGGTACACCTACCCCGGCAGTGTCCAGTTCAGGTACAGGTGAGGCATGGATGGAGTATGAAGTGGTGGTGTTGTTTCTTTAATGTAATTTTTATCTATATTTTTTCAGATTTTGGTTCTAGTTATGTTAAAAATGATTAATTCTGAATTACTTTTGCCGTATAGTTCAGGTTTACAGTGCTTGTGCTTCTCTTTTATAAACAAATCTCCCAAATTTTGACTAAGATATTTAGTTACTTCATTTTATCTGTAGATGTTTTAAGAACTGTCGTCAAACAGCATGCCAGTTTATCAGCAGTGTTTACCTTGTAAGTTTTTATCAGGCTGTCACATCTCTCTGGATACATTGTTGAGATGTTCTCTGGTGTCAAAGTGTGGAGGGGAGACAGAATGTTGGCTCCACCTACTCTATACAGTACAGTCCGGTGTCCTTTTGGTGACGTTGGCTACGGATGACATCACGAGGACCAACATTTCAGGCCGGTCACACGGTTGCGCGGTGAGGACCTGTTCTGACATTATGATCAGCTCGTACACACAGTCCTCAAGTGTTGGCTGTGTAACCTGGCTGAGCCTGAGTCACACATGTCCTCTGTGGTGCCTGACTCACTGTCTCCTAGAACTGCTGTTTCTTTCCTCACCTTTTATTAAGGGAGACAGTTCCATGAGGGAGAGATTAATTACCGTCAGAATATATTACTACATTATACAGTACAACACAATAATGGTCATTGGTGACACTGGTGTTGTCTTTACATCATGTGGTTGTGATCTTGTTGTTATAGAGACAATATTAGTTATTAACATCTGAGAAGTGTTGTGTGGACGCCTACCTTAACTAGTTTATACAATTACCAGGGTTTGGTTTTCTGTCTAACTCTGGTGGAGGGGCTCCCAAGCCATCTATGTTTAGCTTTGGCAGTCTTGGAGGGAAAACTATCACAATGCCGGGAACAAGTAGTGAGTACAGCACTATCATGGTATACTATACTTGTGTACTGATTTATGTGTTGGCTGTGTTGTGTTATGGTCGTGATGAGTACTGCTGGTAGGAAGACTAGGTGTGTTGTGATTATGTTAAAAAATGCTGGTGTGGACGCTTTGTTCTGATTTGTCATGATGTTAAGGCCTAGTTGCGATTTGTTATGAATCGCCAAATTTTGCAGTTGTAAGAAACAAAGCTTGAACTTAGTATGCCTGTGGAGTTAAAACCATTGATAAAGATAATAAACTACCTTAACTCTCCTGATAATTAATGCTTTCCTATACTGTAATAACAATACCTCAGCTTCCAGTAGGGACCATCACACATCATGCTTAATCTGTCCTGTCAAGATTAATAGTTTGCTTTACTTATTTCAGTTTCACATTATAATTTACTGCTTTCATGCCTCTGCTTTTCTCCTCATAATGTATGTACAGTCCCCTTCACTGGTGTGTTTACAAGGGCTCATCAGGTTTTGTGCAATGTGTCAGCCGTGTGTCTGTTTATATTCGACAGGAGGATACTCACAATATTAAACATACAGTACTATGGAATCATATTAAAACAACATATCAAAGATAATTATTTGTGGAATGTTTATATGACTAGCCTCTGTAAGTGCACTAGTGATGGGGACTGTACTTGATGGTGGAGTTAGTTCATCATGTTGTCAACTCAATAGGGTAAGTGTTTTCTGTCACCTCCTGGGTAAGACACACTTATTCAATATCTGTCTGTAGGGTAAAGGTCCTTATACGAGGTCTGATCGAAAAGTATCCGACCTTTAGCAGGTGAAAAAAAAACAAGCTTACTGACTGAGTTGAGACTTTAATCCCTTTCAAAGTAGGCCCCTTGGAACTGAACACACTTAGCCCAGCGGTCCTTCCATTGCTGGAAACATTTTGTATAGTCAGTTTTTGGGATCTCCAACATGATCTTCGTCGCATTTTTCTTTATCTCATTTGTGTCCTCAAATCTCGAACCCTTCAGCGGCATCATCTTAATTTTAGAGAACAGCCAAAAGTCGCAGGGAGCCATGTCAGGAGAGTAGGGAGCCTGCCGGACCTGTGTGATCCTGTGTTTGGCAAAAAAATCCTGGACAAGATGGGATGATGAGTGGGCTGGCTGGAGCATTGTTGTGGTGGTCCCCCGCCTCCCACAACTCTCGTATCTTACAACGCACTGCACGGAGAACTCCCCGGTAGTACTCTTTATTGATTGTTTGGCCTTCTGGAGCGTACTCGTAATAAACAATACCCTGGTAGTCGAAAAAACTGTCGGCATGAGCTTCACCTTGCTCTGAACCTGCCGTGCCTTCTTTGGCCTTGGTGATGCCTGTGACTTCCATTGTGACAACTGAGCTTTCGTTTCTGGGTTGTATCCATACACCCAAGACTCATCTCCCGACATGGTTCCCTGCGACTTTTGGCTGTTTTCTAAAATTAAGATGATGCCGCTGAAGGTTTCAAGATTTGAGGACACAAATGAGATAAAGAAAAATGCGATGAAGATCATGTTGGCACACTGACACCTACACTCTTAATACAGCAGTTGACAGGCCAGATAATAGTGCTTCAATGCTTCCATGACTTCAATACAGGAGTGGGTATGGCCTTCTGTCTCTCTGGTATGTATCTGTTTAGGTATTTTATTGCTTGATGCCTCAGTAATGAAGACAGTGAACATTGGAGAGCCTTACTATGTGTTCCTAATCCTCATGGGGTTATAGATAAATGTGTCCTTTTGTTTGTTATATCTATAGAAGACAATAAACTTCAGCGTATATATTAGATTATGTAGATTATATTTACCTAGCTGGAACTCAGTGCAAATGACAAAGATACTTTAATCGCCTTTTTTGTGTTATTATTTGTAATTGTTTAATTATCACTGGTTATTGCTTATAGGTTTTAGCTTCGGGACAAATACCAGCCAACCAGCCAAGACACCGTTTGGATTTGGTACATCTACTGGCGGCACATCTGGAGGCTTTCTGCTGGGCTCTGGATTTGGGTAGGTTGTGAGTAACAGGTGTTGCTATATCATGTTGACCATTTGTATTATTATTGGCTCTATTGCTGGTACACTAAGGAAGCCTTCATATATAAGATTTATTGCTGTCAGGAATGTATCTCCATTAATACAGTACAGGTACACCACCGGGAACTGATGGTCCAGCACCTCCTTTAGTCCAGACAATACTATGAGAGGGCACTTAACCTCCCTCCCTCCCTGCCTGAGTGATGGTAGTTTTAGGCTTAAAGTTTTTATCTTACAAAATGTAGCTGACCAGACTTAGCAGAATATAAATTACATTGCTGGAATCCTTGTAAGATATTGATTAATTTGAGTATAAACATCACATAGTTTGCACAAGAGATAAACATTTTAGTCTAGTGTAGTACAGTACATTTGATTACAAAGTGTGTCCAGTAATGTTGCTCAAAATTATGTCTTTTTCACATTTAATTTACATTTAATATTTGTTTAATTTAAGTTTCTAGCAGTCCATGGTGCTTTAGAGACACAGGAGGTGTATAATTAGTGGGTCAGAGGTGTACTGTTGAATTATAATTACCTGACCTCGGTTGGTCTGGCAAAACATAATCTGGCAAGGCTTTGGAACCAAGGGTGCCGGAAAATAAGTGGTGGACCTGTACAATACTGTGATCAATATAATGACAACCTTTATGCAGATTTGATTTGCAGTTACTTCTCTAGGAAGATATAAGTTTATTAGTATTGTTATTATTATTATTATTATTATTATTATTATTATTATTATTATTATTATTATTATTATTATTATTATTATTATTATTATTATTATTACATATAAATTTACTGAAAGAATAGCAACAATTTATACTTCAAATATCAGTTAATTAGATATTTCCCTGAATTTCAGATGTACAGTATTGGAATATAATGAAATCTTTTTGTTTCAGAACAAAAACGACTTCAGCGTTCGGAACACAGAGTTCAGGTACTGTATGTGTTTGTGTATAATGTAACATCTGACAACCTCCAGGTGTACTGTGTGTAGTTGACCTTTGTAAACCAGTGTGACATAATTAAAATAAAGAAATCAATTTGTAGTGAGGATCGATAATGCAACATTGTCAAGTCTCCACCTACACCTCTACCCTCCTATATACCACCTCTCTCTCTCTCTCTCTCTGCCAATTTCTTTTTGTCCACAACTGTACAAAACAGGATATTCCTCAATTCTTTTCAGATGTATGCCAGGTGCCAGCGTTGGGTCAACTTGATCCCTCCTTAGCGTTGCACCTTGCCATCTGTACCCCCTCTTACTTCAACAATGAGAATGACGAGGTGTTACGCAAGTGGAATCAGCTACAAGCATTTTGGGGTTCTGGGAAAGGTAAAATGTTTATTTAAATTTTTTCATAATATTCAATGTTTTGAATATAGATTTTTTTTCATAATTGATGTAATGGATTGGGTGACTCCTACTGTACTGACAAGGTTTGGGGGTTTATTAATTAGATTCCCAGGGATGATTCATATGTGCAGTCATCCACAAAAGTCCCGTCGTGTCTCCTGAACCATGAACCCCGAGATTCTGACTCGCGAACCCGAAGCAGTAGACCGATGCATTATTCTATCCTTAAATGCTTCGGGTTCACGAATCTGAATCTCGGGGTTCATGATTCAGGAGAAGAGATGACAGGACTATTGTGTGTGACTCTACAACTGGTCTATACTGCAAAAATCTAGAGATAGGATCTTCCTTAGTTTATCCACAGCCCTTATGATTATTGGCCAACACCAGTGAGTGTCCAAAAGCAAGAACTGAGAGTGTAGATAGTTGTATTACTGTGTACCTGTGTGTTCCCTGCGACCCAAGTGGGATATATAAGGGGGGCTCCAGGGTCCACACCTCAGTCCAGTCATTCACCAGTTGATTGGTCGTCTCATATGTGGTTCCACGTTTTGCCGTCTGTTTTATTTATTTAATTATCTTATGACACAATAATGCCTTTCACAATCTCTTTTAAATAATTTTCTTAGAAGAATATTTGTAATTTTTGAAGAAAGGATTTAATGAGTGTTTGTTGTCTGTGTTTAATGTTAATATTGAGAGTCTAATCTTATGGTAATTTGAAGTTTAAAGCCTTTTTATTTATGTATGTATTTATTAATTTATTTATTTATTGTCTTTCAGGTTATTACGCCCCAAACATGCCCCCGGTAGAGTTCACAGCGGAAAACCCATACTGTCGCTTCAAGGTAGTTTGTTACGCCAGGATACCCAACTACCGCAATGAAAATGGTATTGTGCAGATCATCCTAGGAAAGGGAGTCTCAGCTGTAGAGTAAGTACAATCTCTTTACTCTACTGTGTCCTTAGTAGAGACACTGTCCTAAACTGATCAGTAATTAAGGTTGCATAAATGGTTAACTTCATGTTGGATTGCTCGTTAACCAACTTGAGTGTGGGTTCCCCTCTGTGCCGAATATAATAGTCCTGTGTTAGCCAATTAGAGTAAAAGTGGCGTCAATGTAGTGAAGGTGTTAGTCTAATAACCCCTCGTGTATGGGCTCACCTCTGAGCTGAATAAAATCATTCGTCATTAGCCAAGTAAAATATTAAAAGTGGCGTCCCCATAGTGAAAGAGTTAATAAGAGAAGAACCTCATCGTAATCCAATAATTCTTTGAAAAGTTTAAGGACCTAGAGGCCACCAGGACAAATAATTAAGCTGGTTTTCACATGACTCATAACCTAACCTAATCTAACCTAACCTGTACAAATTTCACATATTTGTTATAGTCTATTGTTTAGTTTACATTTTGTTATGAAGTGAATTAAATACGTATTGGTTAATTGTTTCCGTTTATCCCGGCCAGGCCCCACAAACAACAGATCGTGTCAACGTTGTCGTCTATATTTGGCGGTGCCGAAGTCGTCATCGATGAAGTCTTCAACGCTGATGTTCCCGATAAGACTAACATAAGGTTTTACGTCCAACAGCCTCTCCCTAATGGTGATTATATTTGATGTTTATTGTTGTTATTAGTATTTTTATGATTTTATCCAAACTTTACAATTTAAAAAAGAGTATATCTGAGCAACTGAAGATTTTAACCCCTCCCCCCCTCACATTCAGCAATTTTAACTGATGATCAAGCACCTTAATACTATGGGGGGTGGGGGGGTGGTTAAGTTAAATTTGGTTAGATTATGTTAGGTTAGATTTGATTAGGTTAGGAAATCTATAACGTCCAATTTATCAAAGTCAATCCATAAATGACCATAACGCAGAGCTTATAGAGAACTCGGTTGACGTTAGATGGAAAGTTTATTTACAATTTTGTTACAGGAGAGAAACAGAGGGCGGCCGCTGCTGACGTTTCCCGCCACATGTTGGGACCGGCTTATGCCCAGTCGTTAAAGGTACAATAGCTATGTGTGAGTTATTTCCTATATAAAACAAAGATTTGTCATATCTAAGGTATTGCTAAAGTCACACTGAATTTGTCATAAAGTTAGGCTATTGTCGGTACATGATAAAGTGTTAATATCTCTGAAGGCTAACCTGTAGAAGAATGGGATGTAGCCTTGGATGGTGATGATGATGATAATGATGATGATGATGATGATGATGATGATATAGAGATAATAGTCATGTTTAATGTTAGTTCAGTGTGGAGAGAATATAACCACATGTGTTTAGTGTTGTAGTAGGTCCAATTTCCTTTGTATCCCCCCCCCCCCAGATGTGATGTGGGTCATTTCTCTTTGCAGAACCTGTGTATCGAGCAGGTGACTCCGATGTTGATGTTGACGGAGGTACAGATGAAAGAATACCTTGATACTCCACAAAGAGGTGAGTTACCTACCAGGAGTGTGAGAGTGAGTTACCAGGAGTGTGAGATCGAGTTACCAGGAGTGTGAGATCGAGTTACCAGCAGTGTGAGAGTGCATTACTAAGAGTGTGAGAGTGAGTTACTTACCAGGAGTGTCAGAGTGCGTTACAAGGAGTCACATTAACAAATATACCTCCAGAATTTAAATCATATTTGTTCCTATACTGTACCTGAAAAAATAGACAAATCCACCAAACTCTTCCTATAGATTTTTCATCTTTAAATATGAACCTTTTAATCATCTATGTAGGGAAATGTTCAAGGAATAGTGGGTTAACGATGTCATGTCCTTCCTGGTAGGTATTGACCCAGCATTGTGGGAACAGGGCAAGAGGGAAAATCCAAACCCTCACAAGTTTGTCCCTGTTGTGAAAGTTGGCTTCCAGGAGCTACAGCAACAGTTCAAGTGAGTGATGTACCTTTCATTCTGTGTAGACTTGGGTTCTATATGAGTACCTGTGACCACTACCAAAAACATACCATTATGTCCCTGTAGATACCAATATGCCCCTCTAGATACCAATATATCCCTCAAGATACCAGTATGCCCCTCTAGATACCAATATGCCCCTCTAGATACCAATATGCCCCTCTAGATACCAATATGCCCCTCTAGATACCAATATGCCCCTCTAGATACCAATATGCCCCTCTAGATACCAATATGCCCCTCTAGATACCAATATGCCCCTCTAGATACCAATATATCCCTCAAGATACCAATATGCCCCTCTAGATACCAATATATCCCTCAAGATACCAATATGTTCCTGTATATACCAATATGTCCATTTACATACAGTACATCTAAGTTGTTCTTTTGCAGGTATCAAGAAGAACACGCAGCAAACCTCCAATCAAGCATGAACAACATTATGGACGAAATAACACAACTACGGCACAAACAAACCATGGTGAAGGCTGCCATTCAGAACGCTAAGTGGAAACAGGCCAGTCTCACCCGTAGAGTTCTCAAGGTTTGTGATGTTTTGTTTCTGTGTCGGTCTTCCATGTCCTTTCTTGTTATGATTCAGAGTGGCAAGACAGTACACCCAGTTTCTTGTGCAGGTGGTATAGTTTGTTATCCCACATCTAGTTAGGCCGCTAGTTCATAAATCTTTTAAGATCTGAGAAGTCATGGAGTTGATCTGTTATTTAGGCAAAGATATAAGTAATTCTTATTTAATTTTGTGTTTTTTGTCACCAAGATCTTACTAATAAATGAATATATCACCTTGTGTTTTATTTGAATGTTTAGTTGGTGTCAGCACAAGAGGTTGAGAGGAAGAGAGGGGTGCCGCTGGACCAGACGGAAGAACAGATTCGAATGCGACTTGAGGACCTGTACTTGCAGCTGATGCAGCCCACACAGTACCGGGTGAGTTATGTTGTAGAGTACAGTAGTGCATCAGTTTACCACACTAGTTATTGCATGGAACAGTCAGGAACGGTGGAAAAAAAGTGAGGTTTTTTCCAGTGTCACGTTCCCTTCCCTTACAGTATTACCTTGAATACTGTATTTATCTCAGAGCAAAGTATATGTTGTAAATATACACTGAGAAATAAAAAGAAAAGAGGGAAATACAACATTCAAGCATAATAATGAAATATAATGTAGATTTAAAACATTTTGAGCCAAGTACTGTACAGGTGAAATAATATGATACCTCTGATTGGTGGTTTAGGGCCATATGGACCTCTCGGAGCTAAGAGGTCAAGGAGCCAATATACAGAACAGTACTTGCTGAGAATGTTAACTGTTAAGATGGTAGGTTATATTTCATTTCATTATTTATAACTAATAATTGTTAATATTACTACAGGGATGTTTGAACGAACTGATGGCCCAGATGTCGGTGAAGCCAGGGAGTTGTCGAGGCGGTCCACGGTATGGCCTCATTAGTGATAAAGAGAGAGACGTTTCACAATATGTGTCACTGCAGCATAATGCTCTTCAGGCTGTAGTTGTTGTTCTCAAAGAAGACATGCAGGTGGTCGACAGTATGATCGAGGAAATACAACGGAAATCTTGAACTTAACCCCATTGAATAGGTTTAATAGCTTGGATTCCGTGCAGGCTCTTACTGTGCTTTATTTACCATAGTTTTAAAAATTCAATTCATATTTTAAAACTAATACATAAAACTTTTGAGAAAGATATAATGTTTCAGTTGCTATATGAAATAACTATTGAAATTTGAGGTTTTTCATCATGCATAATATGTCTTTTCATAACCAAATTTATCCAAACATTTGACATTATTGTTGATGTGTCATAGTGTGTTGGTTTAGAACATGACACTCATATGAGGAGGCCTGATTGATCTTCTGCCAGTGTACCTGTTTGGAAAAGAAATATGTTGCAGTGAAATGTTAATGTTATCACAGTTTGGTCTTGTATTTTGTGATGGATTTAACTTAGATTTAACATAAGTTTATTTTTGTACTTGGATAATGATTAACCTCTTGTGTACGGGGCCTCCTCTGTGCTGAATAAAATGGTCTGGGTGTTTGCCAATTAAAATACTAAAGTCGGCATCCTTATAGTGAAGGGATTAATGTTTTTTATATGATGAATTTATAAACATTTGATACTACCTTCTGCCGAGTGTTTGGTTAAAATTACAACTTATCTGAGCTAATATGTTTGTGATAGTACATAGGCAATATGCCCGTGGATCCATATTTTCATTTATTTTCTCATGTATAGTTATGTTTATATGATGATTCAATAGTAGAGTCAGTCCTCGACTTAACGATGGGGTTAGGGACCGACGACCAGGTCTTGAGTCAAGGAGTACCTGTATGCTTGTATTCTTTCCCCCAATAATGTATCAACACCACTCCTTATTAAGTGTATACAGGACTATTTGAGTACTAGTGTGCCCTGGACCTAAACCCAATAGACAATGAGTGAAATCAGATGAAACACAAGCTGCTGTCAACATAGAATGCATCATCAGAACTCACCTGCAGAAAGTGATGAAGCAGATCTGGAACAAACTCTTACTGAATCTATGTCAAATTAACTTCAACTGGTGTTAAAGATAAAGGGAAATGTGACAAAATCTTATATAAAGGAAGTTTGTGTTTTATTGTGCTTAATTTATCCTTAACTTATGTTTTTGTTTGAAGTCGAGTAAAAATTTTTAGGGATCAATATTTTTTGCTGATTCTGTTGTGGGACGTGAGTACTGTGTAAGGAAAGGACCACTAGTTTATTTCAACTAAAGATTAACCACCCAAATTCTAACCTAACCTAACCTAAACTAACCTAACCACCCAAATTCTAACCTAACCTAATTTATCCTAACCTAATCTGACTTGACCTTAACCTAACTTAACTTTTCCTAACCTTTACCTAACTTAACCTCACCCCCCCAAATAGTGTTAGGGTAGGTAATCTTTAGGTGAAGTGAGCTGGGATGGAGATTCTTCAGGTGGTCTATTTTTACCTTATCTTTATATATGAATGTAAATTGAGGATAATTAAAGGAATATTAAATAAGGTAGAATAATACAGTAAATTTAATAAAATCAAGTTTAATAAAGGAAAAAATAATAGCTGCCAGAATGTGTAGAACTATAATTTTATTTTAAGGAAATAAGTAAGGCAGAATGTGTAGAAGAACTGTATAATTTTGATGAAAAAAAAAATGAACAAGTAAGATTAAACTAAAGGTATTAATATTTTGGAAACCATATGAGGTATTTTTTGAGTATAAAGATATATAATAAGGCCTGTGGAGTTGATCAGCCTCCATCATGCTGGGGTAGTGGTGGTGGGGAAGTGTTGGTGGTGCTGGGGGAGTTTTGGTGGTGCTGGGGGAGTGTTGGTGGTGCAGGGGGAGTTTATTTTTTTATTTATTTTTTTTTTACGGGGTTCAGTCCACCCAGGCACAGGTCACTGACCCACATCGGGGCCAGGGGGGTGAAAATGTAATAATAATTCATAGTAAATAAAATCTATAATGGAAAAATAGAACATTTAAGATGAAATAATAATAATAACAACAACAACAACAACACTGTAGTAATAATAATAAAATCATAAAGAAATACAAAAATGAAAAAAAAGATCAAAAGTGAGAAACAATATATGTATGTTGTGTTGCCAATGGTAAGAGAAACAATTGAGACCCTGCAATTGTGTGTGAATGAGGCAGAAAGTCAGATCAGCAACCTGGGACTTGGTCACAATTTTTGTGATGCCATATGGCAGCAGGGTCTACCATTAGACTACTGTACAGTATGCTTCCAATATCTTCCCAGGCGGTAGTACCTCCCTGTTTGAGGGAGTGTTGGTGGGGAGTGGTGTTGGCACTGGGGGAGTGTTAGTGGGGAGTGGTGATGGCGTTGGGGATGGTGCTGGGGAGTGTTGGTTGCTGGGAGTGTTGGTGGTGGTGCTGGGGGGTGTTGGTGGTGGAGCTGGGAGTGGTGATGGCGTTGGGGAGTGTTGGTGGCGCTGGGGTGTTGGTGGTGGAGCTAGGGAGTGGTGATGCTGGGGGTGTTGGTGGTGGAGCTGGGGAGTGGTGGTTGGGGGGTGTTGGTGGTGGAGCTGGGGAGTGTTGGTGGGGAGTGGTGATGGCGTGGGAGTGTTGGTGGTGGCGCTGGGGAGTGGTGGTGCTGGGGAGTGTTGGTGGTGGAGCTGGGGGAGTGTTGGTGGTGGGCGCTGGGGGTGTTGGTGGTGGCGCTGGGGGAGTGTTGGTGGAGCGCTTCCAGTGTGGTGGTGGAGCTGGGGGAGGTGGTGGAGCTGGGGGAGGTGGTGGCGCTGGGGGGTGTTGGTGGTGGTGCTGGGAGTGTTGGTGGCAGAGTTGGTGGTGGTGCTGTGTGTTGGCAGGTGGGCTGAGTGTTGGTGGTGGCGCTGGAGGTGTTGGTGAGTGAGTGCTGGGGAGTGTTGGTGGTGGTGCTGGGGGGTGTTGGTGGTGGTGCTGGGAGTGTTGGTGGTGCAGGGAGTGTTGGTGGTGGCGCTGGGGAGTGTTGGTGGTGGTGCTGAAGTGTTGGTGGTGGCGCTGGGGGTGTTGGTGTGGTGGTGCTGGGGAGCGTTGGTGGTGGTGCTGGGGGAGTGTTGGTGGTGGAGCTGGGGGAGTGTTGGTGGACCTGAGAAAGTAGATGCAGTTTCGGATAATTTTTGTTTTGATAATTTAAATTTTATCAATAAATATCTACCTCTTCCCAGTAAAGATTTTATACCTATAGAAGCCTAATTCTATATATCCTTTATTAAAGTCTATTTTTTCCAATAAATCTTAAATTTTATTTGTAAGTGATGCCATATTTTCAGTTTGAGTGAGGCATTAAGGTCTGTGTTGCTGTATAAACATTTCTTATCAATATATAAATTAATTCATACATTACAGTAGTATTACGATACAGTACTACAGTATACGTTGTTAACATACAGTATATAGTTAGTGAGAGATGTAATTGAGCAGTTATGTAGTTTGTCGCTCGGTAGTTACTCAATCTTCCGGCGACTTTGTAAACAAATACAGTATTGTCCCTTAATTTCCACCATTTAAAGGGAAAATATTAAAAATAATAATCTACTTCACAATTTATTTAAGTAAGATATTTTCTGGTATCATCGAATTCATGTCGTAAGTGATTCCCTTCGAGAGAGTTTGCTTCACTGTATGGTCGACTTGGGCTTCGAGCAGAGGCAGTTCAGTGGAGCCGGTGACTTAATAGGTCATTACCCAGTTGAGTGTTTACACCTGGAGCTGGTGGATGACCTTCCCACTACGGCGGCTCACAGCTTAAGGATGAAGTAGCCACAAGTTCAGAAAATTGCGAGGCCAAACTTTTTCGGAGTTGGGTACAGATATATTGTCAGTATAGTACTTAACAATGTGTAATAGAGAGCCGGTACTGGCCAACAGAGCGTAACAGAACCAGTACATGCCCAGTACTTGCCGACAGTGTGTACAGAGACATGACCGACAACCCAAGATACTAACGAGCCGATCAGTGGCGAAGAGGATAATGTGTGTTATGGAGGAGAGAGAGACGAGTGACGTGATCACAACCTACCCAGGCTCAGGTGTGTTACTCTCCCGTTCCAGTGTAGTCTGTGACTCGTCTTGATCATAAGGTTCCTTTGACTTTGTGTTTAGTTAAGGTAGACGTAGTAGTTTTGTGGTGAATATTTAGAGGTGAAATTATAAATAAAGCGGTAGAGTTAAAAGAATCAGGACTCGACCAGATTGCAGAATGGCGTTTTCTGTTGTTCGTCTTTTAGTTGGCCAGTGTGCAGGACGGATCATAGGGGAATTTACAAGAAGTGTTGGATGGGGAACAGGCAGAACAAACAGCCTCAACCTTGGGGGGGGCGCTGAAGGCCCCCAGACTTTTTTAAATCTGACCAATATCATGGGCATTTTGAGGCCATTTGAAGCCATGTGCACTTGATATTAAGAGATATTCTGAGGTCAATAGTAATTACTTTTTACTATACAAAAATGCCTGAGTACAATACTGCATTAAAGAAAAATATTGGAATTTTCTTGATAAAAAGGGGGGTCTGAACTCCATGACCACCCCTGGATCTGCCCTTGGCCTGCTTGAACGCTTGTGTGGCTTGTGCTGTAGTTTTAAACAGCTTCTCTGACATAGGTTGGTGCTGTAGCGGAGGGCTGTTGCCGCTAGTGGTGACTTTTCAACAATTACTTAAAAATATAGTCGAACATGAACTCTTAATTTGCCCAGTGTTTGTCTACTGTAGTTTTTCTCGAGGGCCAACCTGCTCCAGATGTCGACAATGTGCAATGGGAAGTAATTATCTCCTATTGGTATTGTTACGACCCTCCCTTCACCGCTTACCCACCTTCCACCACAGGTTACCAGAGGCCAGGGTCGTGTCACCAGAGGCCAGGGTCGTGTTACCAGAGGCCAGGGTCGTGTGTACAGAAGCAGTAGATAGAACAAATGTCGTCGTATTACCACTGGCTGTCCCGCCAGTCTCTGGTAATTCCCCGACGATCGGTATCAGTGTATAGACAAACAACAGGCAGGTAGATTTCCACCAGTCACAGAAACACACTTGTGCACTGTAGTCTTCTTTAATAATCACTAATTCTTCACAACACTGTTAACAGGGTAATGTCTTCACAGCTGGACTTCTCACTTCTAATATATAGTCAGCACACTACCGGTGTACAATTCCTTAGTCTTTTCACTTTTATATTGTTCACAACAATTCCACAATAATTGCACAGCATTTATCTTCAGTTGTTCACGTCAGACGATCCTAGCGGGTTCAGGTACATTCAGGAGCCGGTGCATGCCCAGTATTTGCCAACAGTGCGTGACAGAGACGTGACCGATCGCCCGGGCGGCTAGCGAGCTGATCAGTGGCGAAGAGAATAAAAGTAGATTGTTTTACTCTGATCGAGACTTGCAATAAGAAGTAAATCATAACAACCCGCTGTTGTTTGTTTGTTTCATAAATGACATGCCTGACGTTGTACACTCCTCCATACAAATGTTTGCCGATGATGGCAAGTTATTTCGGGAAATTAAGAACCAAGCGGACTGTGAAGAGCTGCAGAAGGACCTCTGTGGGCTCCAGGAATGGTCGAAGGAATGGCTGCTGAGATTCAATGTCACGAAGTGTAAGAGGATGCACCTGGGGCGTACCAACGGTAAGGATAAAAGTTAAAAGTAAAAAATAAATGATGCAATTCATTATAGAATAATCTTATATAAGTAATACATCAATATATACAATAAAATCTCCCTAAACTTGCCAAAATAACAGCTGCTTGGACAGGAAATAAAAAGTTTACAAAAATTATAATACAAAATTATGCCTCGACATCATATGTTGACGTGACATGAACCATTTAAGGCTGTAACCCCTGACGACCCTTAAAGAATAATTGTGATAGTGAATGGTCTTTCCTAATAGCCACGATAACGATTAAAATACCGTATCAGTAAATGTGAGTCTACCTGTGGCATCTAGCGAGGAGAGCCATATCATTATCTGGAAAATCATTCGGCATAATGGCATAATAATTCTTCCGGGTGTTAAATAAGTAATCCTAAAATAACTTAAAAATTTAGTGGCATTTAGCAAACTACAATTTTAA